GCCTTACTAGTAGTAACAAGAAGCTAGTAGTAACAAGTGCCACGCTAGTAGTAACGGGTGCCGGATCGTTCCATGGAAGCAAAGCCCTCCCCGATCTTTCGTCGGCTCGCTCCGCTGGACGGCTCGGCGTGGCCCCGCACGACTCTCACGAGAGCTACAACTAGCTGAGACGAATTGGCAGACTGGCCCTGTGGGGAAGTTGTCCAAAAACCGGACGGCATACGTGTCAGAAGCAAAGGTCTTAAGACTGAGAGGCATGTTGGGTAGAAGTCTAGAAGCAATTAGGTACATTCAAGTTGACGATTCCTTAGGATGATGAGGGTGAACTACCCCTCAGTTGGTCTCTTTGAATTCGTCCAATAGTGATTTTCATTTCTGAAACCCCAAACATCAGTGGAACCTGCAAACGACATAGTCGTTACAATCGTCATTGCATTTCAAGTTCCAGTCTGCGTAGAGGGAACCATTGCTAGGTTCCCTTTTGTCAGCACTCTGATCGGGTCTTGCTTTGAAGACCTTTTTTGATCAGGTCGACCTCTAGGAAGGGCTCTAATTGGTTCCAGTACACCGGGTGTGCACCAGCAAGTTCAAACATCCGCCAGTTGGGCTTCACATCGCTCGTGCGCTTGCGATCGGGAAGCGATGAAATGTGGGTTGGAGGCCATTGCTAGTAACAAGAAGCAAGTCTAGGAGCATTTCGGGCATTGCTACTAGCAAGTCTAGCAAGGATGCTACGAGGGCTCCTGGCCTTACTAGGAGCAAGGACGCTAGTAGTAACAAGTGCCACGCTAGTAGTAACAAGTGCCTTACTAGTAGTAACAAGAAGCTACGAACGGGGCGACCCTGGCCTTACGAACGGAGCTGTTTCGGATATTTCGGTTCCTTGGCACCCTCTGGCGATCCACGGCATCAGCCTGTGTTTCAGCTGATTCGGCTGCGGTGACACGAAGCACACGTCGGCCAAGGGACACCGGGAAGGACAGGAAAGGCCGGTTTCCCGATCTGCGATGATGGTGGAGGCCATCGCTAGTAGGTTGTTTGAAGCTGTTCGGGAAGGCAGAAAGAACCACCTTCCTAGACAACGGTGTGGCTGCGAGATGATTCAGGTGTTGAGGTCCTTTTGGAACATCTAAAACGTCTCAAAGATCTGATATGAGGCGCGTGAGGCTTCAGTAGCAACACGATAAGGTACCACTTCTCCTGACTGTCCCATCACCTTGTCAAGATAAAGCTCCAATGAAGAATCGAGAGGCACATGCTATGTGACCAATCGCATTAGCTCTGTAGAGATTCCAAACCAACTGATGCATACATCTGCCGCCCTAGAGCTTCCTGGCACATCAAAATGGATATCAAAAACCAAGCGCTGCATGCATACTCCGTGCATTAAGAGGTGAAATACCGCGACATGCTGAAAGGACCAAGCATAACTTTTGACGGATGTTTGCAAATGAAAAACATTGAAATCGAGATGTTTGATTGCTAGATTGGCCATCGCAAGAGAGAGAGAGAGAGAGAAGGGCACTTGAGATTGATCAAACTGGAAACCCTCCAGCTTCTGCAGTTTCAAGCGAAATAGTATGGGGACGGCTGGCGGCTGGGTCAACCGAATTGTACGAAGAGCATGGTACTGGAGCACCCGGAAGTAGGTTCAAGCTAAGAACTTTTCTGTCTTTTAATGTAACATGTATAAATGCATAGCTACTTGCATAGCTACTTGCATATAGCTTGAAGAATTCTTTTGACCATACGAAATCGTTGCCGCCCGTCACTTCGTCTTCGACCTCTTTAGACGCGCAAATGAGGCCGGTCTTTCCTCTCCCGACGGGTCAGGGAGCCGCGAGTGTCCGCACAAAGCGCGCAGGAGAGCCTGGTGGAGAACGACGTTGAACGGTGTGGTTTTCGCCAATGAACACAGTAGGGGGGTTCTCTTTCTCCTTTTTGCGAGGGTGGTGGGTGGTTTCACGGTTGCCATTGACATGAAAACACTTTCGTCAATATCGATCCTACACATTTGTAGACGAACTGGCTGTCCAAGCACTTGCATCTCTTGTATCTTGCCTAATCACACGGATGAACTGCCCTGCACATTTCCTTGGCCTGTCGGTTGTGTTCCCCAGACTGTGGCTCAATGGTCATGGATCTGGATTTGGAAACCTATGAAAGAAACGACAAACACCAGAAATGAGGTAAGAAGCTACTAGGTGGAGGCCATCGCTATTAGCTAGGAACAAGAAGCTATT